TGGAAAGGCACCATCAATGCTGAAAGGTATGTCCAAGTTCTAGAACAACATATGCTCCCATCCAGACGTCGTCTCTTTCAGGGAAGACTTTGCATCTTCCAACAGGACAATGCCAGACCACATACTGCATCAATTACAACATCATGGCTGCGTAGAAGAAGGATCCGGGTACTGAAATGGCCAGCCTGCAGTCCAGATCTGTCACCCATAGAAAACATTTGGCGCATCATAAAGAGGAAGATGCGACAAAGAAGACCTAAGACAGTTGAGCAACTGGAAGCCTGTATTAGACAAGAATGGGACAACATTCCTATTCCTAAACTTGAGTAACTTGTCTCCTCAGTCCCCAGACGTTTGCAGACTGTGATAAAAAGAAGAGGGGATTCCACACAGTGGTGAACATGGCCTTGTCCCAACTTTTTTGAGATGTGTTGATGCCATGAAATTTAAAATCACCTTATTTTTCCCTTAAAATGATGCATTTTCTCAGTTTGAACATTTGATGTGTCATCTATGTTGTATTCTGAATAAAATATTGAAATTTGAAACTTCCACATCATTGCATTCTGTTTTTAGTCACATTTTGTACAGTGTCCCAACTTTTTTGGAATTGGGTTTGTACATGTTTTTCCAATAGGAATGGTGGCAGTGCTGTTTGTTATCACAGAAAGTTGTCAGGTAACTTGTACAGCCTCCTGTTACACAGGATACTATCAGAAAGTAAATCTTATGAAATTAAAAATCGTCTCCAAAGTCACTGCACTTTGATGGTAATAAGAGCTTTTTTTTTTAGTAGAAACATTGCATCATTAAGTATCTGTATTGGTACTCGGTATCAGTGCATCCCTTTACTCATGACTCCGATGCCTACAGTACATACAGTTAATGTAGGAAAATATATTCTGATTCCTTACCTTGTACAATGATATAAGCTGTAGCATGTATAGTGTCAATGTTGTTGGAGGCAAAACAGGTATATTGTCCCCCATCAGCCTGGACCACGTTCTGGATATAAAGCCCTCCAGAGGGGGTGATGTTAATGCGAGCGTCATTGGGCAGGGGCGTCCTGTCGCCCTTTGTCCAGGAGATTCGAGGTTGTGGCTGGCCTGTGGCACTGCACTCCAGGGTCACACTCTCCCCCACCAGCACCTCAGTGTTCTGGGGCTGGATCACAAAACTTGGTCGTGCTGGAGCAGCAAAAAGAAAGAGAGGAGGAGAGAATGTGGTAAAGTGGTTAGATTAATTACATGCGAGGTGATAACATTTTTCATATGGATCTCTGGTTTGAGCAATTTCAGGGTATGAACAGTTGAACTAGGCTGGGTATCTTTCCAACATTTTCGATACCGGTATCGATATCATACTTTGACTTCGATACCAGTTCCTAAACAATACTTTTGTCAAAAAAAAACCTCCAGTACATTTTGGTACATTTTTATTTTGAAATTCCTTGGCATTTTTGTGCATTCAAAGCAGTTTCATAACATAAAAAGTAAACCTATTTACCTTAACCTTAGATTCTGTTAACATCAACATCAATAAATAAAAAGGTAGAAAACTATTTTTCTATACTTGATAGTACTGAAGTAGTTCTATCGATGCCATAAAAGTTTTGAAGTTCAATACCCAACATTAAACTTGACAGGTTGGTTCATACATTTTTGTATATTTCTGTCAATAACTGAGTACTGCTAAAACGATTTCCTGTGTCACAAAATGCCTTATCCATATTTGGCAAGTGATCACAGGGGAGTCAGAGGAAATATGTACCCAACGAGAAGCCTGGTGTTTGCAATCATACAGCGACAGGAAACACATCTGCTTTAAAAACTGTTCCTTAACAAAGGGTCAACACCAGGATTATCTGTCACCCCGATGATGATCCTTAGGTCATGTAAAGACAGTCGTGCTGATCTCCCATAGCAACGGCTATTGGTGCTATGACTCCATATTGATGTGTGAGTACTGTTTGCTGGTTTTGTAAAAGATCAAAGATTTTTATTGTCAGTTCACTAAAATCATTTAAGTTCATTTTTTTCCTCATTAATGTACACACAGCACCCCATATTGACAGAAAAACACAGAATTTTTGACATTTTTGCAGATTTATTAAAAAAGAAAAACTGAAATATCACATGGTCATAAGTATTCAGACCCTTTGCTGTGACACTCATATATTTAACTTAGGTGCTGCCCATTTTTTCTGATCATCCCTGAGATGGTTCTACACCTTCATTTGAGTCCAGCGGTGTTTGATTATACTGATTGGACGTGATTAGGAAAGCCACACACCTGTCTATATAAGACCCTACAGCTCACACTGCATGTCAGAGCAAATGAGAATCATGAGGTCAAAGGAACTGCCTGAAGAGCTCAGAGACACAATTGTGGCAAGGCACAGATCTGGCCAAGGTTACAAAAAAAATTTCTGCTGCACTTAAGGTGCCTAAGAGCACAGTGGCCTCCATAATCCTTAAATGGAAGACGTTTGGGACGACCAGAACCCTTCCTAGAGCTGGCCGTCCGGCCAAACCGAGCTATCGGGGGAGAAGAGCCTTGGTGAGAGAGGTACAGAAGAACCCAAAGATGTCGTGAAGCACCCTTTTGAGCTAATACAGTCATGAGTCTTTTTGGGAATGATGCAACAAGTTTTTCCACACTTGCATTTCGGGATCTTCTGCCATTCCTCCTTGCAGATCCTCTCCAGTTCTGTCAGGTTGGATGGTAAATGTTGGTGGACAGCCATTTTCAGCCACTCCTTCGTTATTTTAGCTGTGTGCTTAGGGTCGTTGTCTTGTTGGAAGGTGAACCTTCGGCCCCGTCTGAGGTCCTGAGCACTCTGGAGAAGGTTTTCGTCCAGGATATCCCTGTACTTGGCCGCATTCATCCTTCCCTCGATTGCAACCAGTCGTCCTGTCCCTGCAGCTGAAAAACACCCCCATAGCATGATGCTGCCACCACCATGCTTCACTGTTGGGACTGTATTGGACAGGTGATGAGCAGTGCCTGGTTTTCTCCACACATACCGCTTAGAATTAAGGCCAAAAAGTTCTATCTTGGTCTCATCAGACCAGAGAATCTTATTTCTCACCATCTTGGAGTCCTTCAGGTGTTTTTTAGCAAACTGCATGCGGGCTTTCATGTGTCTTGCACTGAGGAGAGGCTTCCGTTGGGCCACTCTGCCCTAAAGCCCCGACTGGTGGAGGGCTGCAGTGATGGTTGACTTTCTTTGACTTTCTACAACTTTCTCCCATCTCCCGACTGCATCTCTGGAGTTCAGCCACAGTCATCTTTGGGTTCTTCTGTACCTCTCTCACCAAGGCTCTTCTCCCCCGATAGCTCAGTTTGGTCGGACGGCCAGCTCTAGGAAGGGTTCTGGTCGTCCCAAACGTCTTCCATTTAAGGATTATGGAGGCCCCTGTGCTCTTAGGAACCTTAAGTGCAGCAGACATTTTTTTTGTAACCTTGGCCAGATCTGTGTCTTGCCACAATTCTGTCTCTGAGCTCTTCAGGCAGTTCCTTTGACTTCATGATTCTCATTTGCTCTGACATGCACTGTGAGCTGTAGGGTCTTATATAGACAGGTGTGTGGCTTTTCCTAATCACGTCCAATCAGTATAATCAAACACAGCTGGACTCAAATGAAGGTGTAGAACCATCTCTGGGATGATCAGAAGAAATGGACAGCACCTAAGTTAAATATACAAGTGTCACAGCAAAGGGTCTGAATACTTATGACCATGTGATATTTCAGTTTTTCTTTTTTAATAAATCTGCAAAAATGTCAAAAATTCTGTGTTTTTCTGTCAATATGGGGTGCTGTGTGTACATTAATGAGGAAAAAAATGAACTTAAATGATTTTAGCATATGGCTGCAATATAACAGAGTGAAAAATTTAAGGGGGTCTGAATACTTTCCGTACCCACTGTATGATGTAAAAAAACCAGCAGCAGATTCACATGTAATATAACAAAAAGGGGGAATGTACTGAGTTTGTGCAAAGCAACAGAGGTAGTCTTTTTATGTTCTGTTTAAGTATCTGTATGTCAGGCAGAATTCAGTGAGAAAGAGCAACCAACAGAGGAGAGAATGCCCTTTGTGTGTGTGAAAGCACGTGGAGTGAAACTTTTACATGCAAGTCCGCAGGCTTTGCTCAGAGCTCAGTGGGACATTCCAGT